AATCAAGAAGAAAATCAAAGAAAGCTTTGATTCTTTGTAAAAGCAAAACTAGCGTGGGGAAGAGGAAAGGGGCTATTTGTGTTTTTCCTTTTTCAATCAAAATGAATGAATGAAAAACCTTGCCAATTTTAATTAACACTTTTCTTATATAGTGTTATTTAATTGCCCTATTTCCAAATGGAATAGGCTTAGGCTCTAACCCAAACACACCATGTTTCCAAACACTCCCAATTAGATATTTATTTTATTTTCCATCATTATCTCAATTAAAATCAATTAATATATATTTAAATATATATTAACATTTAACAATAATGATAATATATTTAAATATGTGCGAACACACATTTAAACGTAATTTCACTTATTTAATTTTTCTAACAAATTAAATAAAGGCTACGACCTCAGCAAATTTAATTACAATGTGAAATTACCAAAATACCTTTTCGCCCAAAAAGATGAAAACGCCCTTCTTTCTTCATGGCTCTTAAATTATCTTCTATGTGTGTGACCCATAGGCTCCTCATCATACCAGTAGTGTATAGTATCACGATTAACACCAATTAATCATGTCACTAATACACAGACCAAGATCGGACACTAGCAAGGCATCATGGCCACCCGATAGATTCGGATTCAGCAAAGTAGCTATCTATCAACGATATAGTTACCATGCAATTTGATCCTTTCATCATCCGTTATCTTGACGAGACAAAGACATAGAAATAGTGTCAACCTTTGGTTACTCTCGATATTATGTATTCAGTTACTGGACTAATGACCTATATTATAAACTTGATAGAGCAACAACTCAATCCCACTGTGGCCACAGTTTTAGTGTCATTGCCATATACTAAATTGCGCCGTGAGATAACTTCTCCTGTACTCAGGAGTGATGAATCCTCTGTCAATCCACCATAGTCTTGATACACTCCTTGATGCAGCCAATCACCACTGTATTGACAGTTCTGAATAGAACTACGTTAGGCTAGTGTCAAACTGCACCAATCGGTGCACAAGGTGCTCCAATGATCTCAAGTCTAAGGATCACATGCACCACCATTCGTTAGAGGATTTGTTCCATAAACACTGGGGTTACCATCCATATGGAATCCTCTGGTGGGTCAGTCCAGTGAACTTGTTGCAGTGTATTCGCCTACAGCAAGCACCCATGTGTTGCACCAAGTTGTCAGCAAACAACTTTGACAAATGAGATCATTCACTGCCTTTTGACAAGGTCACTCAACACTATGATAGCCTTACCGTATTATCTGTGCCCTTACTTCAGAATAATACTGGGGCTACAGACATTTCTAGAATGGCCACCATATGTGCTCATAGGGTTCTCACTATCAAGATTTGAAACACTTGATACCCTCGTCACGGTTCTACCATTCTAAGGACATATATCAATACATATTGCAATAGTAATGATTTACACAATATAGAATAAAATGCCTTTGATTGATTAATAAACATTATTACAAAGAGTCAATTCTACAGTAATTGATTGGCTCTAGGGCACCTACTCTAACACAAACTGCTCCAGTTTATTGGATATATAAGATGTTAGGGGTCTAAATGTAAAGATCTAAAGGTTTGTAGAAACGGTGCATTTTGTATAACTGAAAACTATAAACACAGACCACTTGTAACAGATTCAGTTAGAGAAAAAAATTCTAGAATTTTTACATGGTAACTATATCGTTGTCTTCGTCTTGTCAAGATAACGGATGATGAAAGGATCAAATTGCATGGTAACTATATCGTTGACAGATAGCTATTTTGCTGAGTTTATTTCTTGCTTTTAGTAAATCTTTCATGGTATCAGAGCCAAAGACAAACGTCAATGGCTAATCCAAATCTTGAGATCATGAACTTCAGTTCAAAATATGGAGTTGAGTAGATTGGTACTGAGAATGCAGGAAATCTAGCTGTTCAATCTTCTCTACCGAATCTTTCTATGAAATTAGGGGAAAGAAACTACAACTATTAGCGTTCACAAATTCTTGCCGCCCTAGCTTCTCATGAGCTTGATGGATTTGTTATAGGTGAGAATCTTTGTCCTCCTATGTTTCAAATTGAAAAATCATCAAATTGTGAGTTAGGGATTAAGAAACCAAACCCTAGGTATTTTAGTTGGGAAAGAACAAATCAATTTCTGGTAAGTTGGTTGATTTCATCCATATCGGAATTTATGTTTAGACATGTAGCTAAATGTACTAGTGCCTACAAAATTTGGAATACTTTAGAGTTATATTTTCAATCCTTTTGGAAAGCTAGGACACTGCATTTGCCTAATCTGTTACAGAGTACTAAGAAGGAATCTTTAAGTGTAAATGAGTATATTTTGAAGATGAAAGAGTATGGTGATGAGTTAAATTTTGAGTGGAGTTCAAATTGGAGAGGAAGAACTACTCTTGTATATCCTGGATGGTTAAGGACCAGAATTTGATGCTATGGTCACTAAGTTGATAGCTAATAGCAGTCAAGCTAATCTTCAAGAAGCTTAGATATCATTACACAAACATGAGATGAGACTTGAAAAACAGAACAATGCTCTGTCTAGTTTCCTTGAGCATATGGCTTCAACACTACTTGCTTCTAAGCAAGGCTCTGCTGAGTCAAATGTTGGAGTATCTCAGCTTCAAGCTTCTGGTTCACAAGGGACATTATTTACTAATCCTCAATTGTCACCAATACAGTCAGGATTGATCCCTTACCAGAATCAAAATTCATATGTTCAGTACCTTATTAATGTTACATCATTTAATCTTGTGCATCCTCACCCTAACTCTTCTCAATTTTTTTCCTCTGGACTGATGTCTTTCCCTAGTAATAGCATAAGAGGCAGAGGTAGAGAACAATGACATGTAAGGCCACATTTGGTGTGTTAGGTTTGTGGTAAAATAGGGCACTCGGCCATCCAATGTTATCACCGTTTTGATTATAACTATCAAGGGTTTATAGCTCCTAGTTACAATACCATGCCAAACTATCCCATACCAGGTCCTTCACCAAGCTTCAATGTTCAACAATCAGCAGCCTTATTTTCATAATCAACACATGAACTTGCACAAGCTTTGTTTGCTACAAATTGTGCATCATCAACAGCCTCTCACAATTCATATGGAGCATTTCATGATCTTTCAGCCAAGAATGGTTCTCCAACCTCTTCTCAGAATTTTAATGGCCTTCTTCCTCCTTAAAACCATTATCTATAGTAGTCTATTGGTGGATCTCCTCATCAGCATTCAGCCTTGATGTCAACTCCTACTGTACAAACCATGGTAACAGCACATACTCTTAATGACCAATCCTGGTACATGGATTCAGGAGCTTCAAATCACATGACTACTAATTCAACAAATATGGTGATAAAGACAGATTATCAAGAAGGATCTCAAGTGCAAGTTGGGAATGGCCAGTCCATTCCTATCACACATACAGGTATGATTTCATTGCCTTCAGCTGTACCTTGTAGAGCTTTACAACTACATAACATTTTGTGTGTTCCACATATCACTAAAAATCTGTTGGGTATCTCTCAAATTACTAAAGAGAACAATGTAATAGTTGAATTTAATGCTGATTATTGCTTGGAAAAGGATAAGTTCAGCCACAAAGTTCTTCTGCATGGAACTGTCAAAGATGGCCTCTATCGATTGACATTCCCAAAAGGAGTATCTTCTTCAGCAATTCACTCTACTATAGTTGTCATTTCTTCAAATGTGTGTGGTGTTACTGCATGGACTACCTCTGGTTGTTCTCTTTCAGCTACTGCTAAGATCAATCAGTTGAATTCTGAATCTTCTTCAGCTAGTACTCCAGTTTATTCAGTTGCTTGTAATCAATTAAAATTTGTTTCCAATAATACTATGCCATGCAAGATTGGGACACCCAAGTACTAAAGTGCTTAGTGCTATTTTAAATAAAATGCATGTAAGATATTCTATTGATAATAATAATTAACTGTTTTGTGAAGCCTGCCAGTTTGGCAAACTGCAGCAATGTCGATTTCCAAGTTCATAGTCTAGAGCAAAGCATCCTTTACAAATAGTATATTCTGATTTGTGGGGGCCAGCCCCTATGACTTCTACTGAAGGTTATAAGTATTATATCGTCTTTGTAGATGATTTTAGTAGGTATATTTGGATTTACCCTTTAAAGTTTAAGTCTAAGGCCTTTGATGTTTTTATTCAATTCCACTATTTTGTTGAAAATCAACTAAATACCAAGCTTAAATGCTTGCAAATAGTCTGGGATGGTGAATACATGCCATTTGCTAACTATTTACAGAAGCATGGAGTGTTATTTACTCATCCTTGCTCTTATATTCATCAGCAAAATAGGCGTGTGGAAAGAAGACATAAAATGATCACTGAATTTGGATTGTCCCTATTAGCACATGCTAGAGTGCCCCTAAAATTTGGTGGACAGCTTTTAGCACAGTTGCTTACCTTTTAAATAGACTTCCCTCGGTAGCCATTGGAGTTGTCTCACCCTTTCAATGTTTGTTTAATCAAGAACCAGACTATTGCATGCTTAAAGTGTTTGGTTGCAGCTGCTTTCCATACCTCAAACCTTATTAGGAACACAAATTTTCATTTCACATAGAAAAATGTGTGTTTCTTGGGTACAACCTTGCACACAAAGGGTATAAGTGTATGGCAGCTTCTGGTAGAATTTTTGTTATAAAGTAAGTGACGTTCAATGAGACTGACTTTCCCTTCAAGTCTGGTTTTCAAAATACAACATTTGATTTAGAAAAATCCACTGAAAAATCTGGTTCTTCTCAAGCATGGTTTCTGCCGTATAGTGCTCAACTATTGTCAGACTCCAATTCTGGTGCCTTTATACATAAGGGCACTTCTAATTGTAATCTTCAGTCTACTCCATCCTCTTCTCATCCTCCAATACCAGTTGTAGTAGAATTATCTTCTGATCATACACATAATGCTGTGTGTCCATCTACTGTAGGATGTTATAATCCTTAATCTATGGCTAATGTTCCTATAGTTTCAGAACATCTCATGACTTTTGATCCTCATACGTTTACTATCTCTAATTCTGGTCCTGGAATTGATACTCATGAAGTTTCTCCTAATCATATGCCTACTTGGTTCATTCAAAATCAGAATCCTCCTGGCATTCACTTGGAGGTAGTGCTACACATTCTTCCTTTAATGTTCCATCAGAAAATGTCCATTCCATGCACTAGATCCAAGTCCAAGGCATATGCTCTTCTAGCAACTCATGGTATATTAGCAGAACCAAAATCTGTCACTAAAGCACTGAATACTCCAAAATGGAAGGAGGCTATGAATGTTGAATATCAAGCACTCTTAAATAATAAAACATGGGAACTAGTTCCATATGAAAAGGGTATGAATGTAGTTGGAAGTAAGTGGGTGTTTAAAACCAAATTACACTTTGATGGATCACTTCAGAAGTACAAGGCCAGGTTGGTAGCCAAAGGATTCCAACAAACTCCTGGCCTTGATAATTTTGATACTTTTTTCAGATAGTTAAGGCAGTTACAATTCAAATAATGCGTTTTTAAATGGTAATTTAATAGAGCAAGTATTCATGATGCCTCTTGAAGGGTTCTCTAATTTCTCTCAAACAAAGCAGGTGTGTAGGCTACATAAGGCATTATATGCCCTTAAGTAGGTTCCTAAAGCCTGGTTTGACAAGTTAAAGGCTAAATTATTGGCTTGGGGTTTTACAAATTCTGCTTCCCATGTAAGTCTTTTTCTTTACAAAAAGGACTCTCACATTATGTATCTCCTAGTCTATGTAGACGATATATTGCTTATAGGAAATAACACACAACTACTTTCTCAAATTGTGAAAGATCTTAATGACCAATTTGCTTATGGGATTTGAAATTAAAAGTACTGATACAGGGTTGCTACTAACTCAAAGTAAATATGCTCAACAGTTGCTACTTAAGGTTGGTATGGAGAGCTCTAAGCCTTGTTCTACACCTATGGCTATAGGAACTCGACTAGGAAAGGACGATAGTGATCCACTTGAACAACCTTCTCTCTATCAAAGCATTATAGGGGGGTTGTAATACTTGATTTTGTCTAGACCTGATCTAGCATTTTCCATAAATAAATCAAGTCAATTCCTCCAACATCCCATTGTCAACCACTGGACAACATGCAAAAGAATATTGAGGTATGTCGAGGGCACTGTTAAGTATGCTCTGTTATTCATAAAGAAAGATCATTTCTCCCTTAAAGCCTTTACTGATGCTAATTGGGTGAGTGATATCACTGATAGGAGATTAACTATAGGCTATAGTGTGTTTGTTAGGGGAAACTTAGTTCAGTGGAGCTCCAGGAAATAAAAGGTAGTTTCCTTGTCTTCTACAGAAGTTGAGCATAGATCTCTCAGCAATACTACTACTAAAATTATGTGGATAAAATAATTGTTTATTGAACTAGGAATAAATGTTACTAATATACCTATTATTTGGTGTGATAACATGAGTGCAGAGGCTTTGTTTGCCAACCCTGTATTCCATGCACAAACTAAGCACATAGAAATAGATGCGCATTATATTCATGACTAAGCTACCCAGAAAAGTGTCAATGTTCAGTATGTTGCATCTGAATTTCAAATTGCCGATATTTTGACCAAAGCTCTTCCAAGTAATAGGTTTGCTTTCTTAAGGGAGAAACTGAATGTTACTAATGTGTTGCCTGAATAAGGTTGTATAGGAGAGAGAAAGAGCAAAAGTGGAATAGAGAAATTGTAGTAGAAAGTTTAGAGGTGTAGACATGTTTTGTTTAAGAGGGGACATTGGATAGGTGAAGATCAAAAAATATAGTTGAGAATATTAGAGTAATAGAAGTGGCATAAGTCTTGGATATGTAGTAGAAAGTACAAAGGTGTAGACACATTTTGTTTAAGAGGGGATATTGGATATGTGAAGGTTAGAAAATGTAGCAGAGAATTTTAGAGTTGAAGACATGCTTTGTTTAAGAGGGGATATTGGATAAATGAGATGTTAAAGGTCTAAATGTAAAGATATAAAGGTTTGTAGAAATGGTGCGTTTTGTATAGCCAAAAACTATAAAAATAGACCACCTGTAATAGATTCAGTTAGAGAAAGAAATTCCCGAATTTTTACTCATTTGCTTTTCTCTTTCTTTGCATCTTTTCTTTGTATTTTGCTGAGTTTATTTCTTGCTTTTAGTAAATCTTTCATAGTTCGTCATGCATGGCAGCAACCCAACAATCGTCTTTAAAAGCTTCTTTAGCGTTTTTAGGTTTTGAAAGAGAAATATAGCAAAGGTTATTAATTTCACTTAACCTTTTTCTTCTAGTGACCATTACCTCTTTCAGATTTCCAATCACCGTGGAAAGTGGATGAGCCTTTTTGATCCAAGAGGGTGGTTCTTTGGTTCTAGGAGTTTTTTTGTTGAGTGATCTCATTGGGCAAATCAACAATCAATTCGAGTCTTGTCTCTCTGGAATAGATCCTTGTTGAGCTGTAGAGGTGTTCACATCAGGTTCTGAAGTGGTCACATCTTTAGATGGATTCAGAGTGGGCACATTCTCTTAGGCAGTGGTCACCTCAGTAGGAGACATTAAATTATCAATATCATATTCATGAGAAAACTGTGAGAAATCTTCTAAATTAGAGAAAAAAACATTAAATGACTCAATAATACGTTGAGTTCTCATATTAAAAATCCTATATGCTCTACTATTTGTGGAATACTCAAGGAAGACACCTTCATCACTCTTGGAATCAAATTTCCCTAGGAGATCTCTATCATTCAACACATAACACTTGCAACCAAGGATGTGAAAATAAGACAAATCTGGCTTCTTACCCTTTCACAACCCATATGGAGTTTGTGAGGTATGATAGCGTGCCGAATGCACCAAATTAATTAACCTTACTGACCGAACTAATGAATTGTATAAAGGGCAGGCAAGGGTCGATCCCACAGGGAATGACTCGATTAATTTCTATATTCTAAAACACTAAAAACAACAGAAACGCAAATTAAACTCTAAACAGTAAACTTGACAACAGTAATGAAGGGGGATTTGTAATCAAAGCAAACTAAAGTAGAACAGAGAAATAAAATATCAGGTTAAACAATCAGCTCTCGGTTCAAGATCCACCTAAACATGCATTGGACATAAAGTAACCGTAACACTGTTCTATCTCATCATTATGAAACTACTGACCCTAGGAAACAACAAGCTCTGTTACCCGAATTCTCCCTTAGTTTGTCACTACCGAAACAAGCTCTTCGAGTAGATACTAACCCTTGAACAACCTAGAACAAGCTCTCTAAATTTAATTCAATGGCAGCCTTAAGAATTAGGAGAATAGATCAATCTAAGCAACAATCACGCAAGCTCGGATTATTTAACTTAGGTTATGTTATTCAAGACAATAGACCGAAAACTTGTCCATAATCAGCTATCATCATGTGTCACTCGTTGAATAGAAAAGGGACAATTACGGATCACAATTCCTAATTCTAACAGGTAAATTCTGATTAAACAATTTAGCAGGCCAAAACTAAATCACTCAAACAAACAAACAATTAAAACAGAATAACATAAACAATTCCAATAAAAACGAGATTAAGAACAATGTTACTGAGGTTAGGTTACACCAATGACATGAAATTAGGCTTCAAAATCCCCTTGAACTGAAGAAGGAAATTAGCCGCACATCTTGATCTAGAACGCAAAAACTCTCCAAAATTAAAACTCTACTGTCCTCCCCCCGTTTAACCTAAAAACTTCTAATTAAATAACATGTGTTTTCCTTAATTCTTCCCCAAGAATCACGGAATTTCTTTCCTGGACGTTTCCTAGAAGATAGACTTCCAGATTTGATAAAATCTGATCAGATATGGATTCCAGAATTCGTCTCCAACTTGCACCAGGATTCTCGCCATGTAAAAGATCTTTTCTGGGCTCCATCACTTCATAAAAATTGTAGTCTAGGATGTGTAGATGAATCTGGGCTTTTGAATCACCCGTTTTCGATATCTGACGCTCCAGTTAGGCCCGTTCGAAGATTCACTGCTCAGCTAAGGAATCCTTCTGCGACTAGGATTCCAGGTCCGGTTTTGCAACAACTACTGAGAACCCAAACGAACTCGGATTCTTGCCCATAATACCTTCCTGAAAAGCTTGATTCGTCTACTTTAATTTCTCTGAAAACCACTTTTGCAATTGAGGAATCTAGCTCCCTGAAAAACCTGAAAAACGTAGCACTGGTCAGAATAACGAAAAATCTGGAAAATCTGGAATTTCCTAATCTTTTCTCAGTTATTTCCTAAAGTCTATCTTAATATGCCAAACTTACAAAATAAACTCTAATCAACTCAATTAGGCATAAAACATAACAAAAACATAATATGATAGGAATAAAAAATATGTAAATTACACTCTTATCAAGGTACCTTTTCTTAGAAAAACTCTATTGGAAATTGATGAGTTCTTGAAAGTGCACTCATACTTAGTGATTTTAAGGGTATTTTGTGAGGGAACCAGGTTTAATTGGTTAATTTTACTAAATTTCTGTATCCCTTTTGTTTTCTAGAATCATGGGTATGTTTTGTGAATTTTCAGGTATTTAGCTGTTGAAAATGAGGATTTCAAGTGTGGACATTAAAGAGAAAATAATTAGAATCGTGTAGGAACAAACGGTTTGAGAATTGAAGCTCAAACAAAGAAGTTATGAATATTTGAAAACTGTTCGTGGCAGAGGATTTTTGTGTCCTGGCATGAGTGAACACGCTGCACTAAAATGGGTGTAACTTGAGCTACACAACTCTGATTGACCTGATTTCGGTGGAGTTTGAAAGCTAAGAGATATTTATATAAATTTTATGTTTTTATATGATCTAGTTCAACCTAGAAAATGGTTAAACATTGATGCTAATGTTACATCAGTGCATAGAAGACAAGCAGATGCAGGTTCTGGAACACGCCTCAGTATTGTTACGATAACTTGAGCTAAAGACCTCAGATTTGGACTATTCTTGGACCATTAAAATATGATTCAAATATCTACAATTAATGTGTTTATGGCTTCTTCATATTCAGAATTTTTCATGCTAAAAAGTGGAAGTCTTTCAGTGCACAATTTTCCAGCAGCAGTTATTAAGGAGAAACAGACAGAAAACGGAAACTTCATGAAGCTACCATAAATTCCTAAGCCTGAACTGGGAGTTTTTTCACATATATTTGTAAAGATTTGGAAGTCCAGTTTACCTAGAATTTTGCGGTTTGTCATTTTGAGATTTCTAGAGGAAGATATGCTTGTTTTAGTACCTAAGGGTCAGCATAGGAATCCTAATTCTACAAGGACTCTACTTAAGATTAATCCGAATTTTATTCTCCTATTTTGTCTAGAATTTTTCCCATTAATTTCCCACAACGCTAGCAATATAAAAGGATGTCTTTAGGTATTTTTCAAGAGACTAAAAACTTTGAGAGAGGCAAGGAGAAGAGACTTCAACTTGGAAAGAATTAG